TTTTTGCTGTTGCTTTTTCGCTGCTGTTTTTTCTTTTGGTGCCTTATTCTGACAAACTTACACACATTTTGTGTATATTTATGTATTGCTTTGAATAAAAAATACAATAATTTGAAATTATTTTAAATTTGGTTGCAAAATAAATGCTAATTTTTGACGTAAATGGGTAAAATATTTTACAATTTTGAGATAAAACTGTATTGTCCTACTATTTTAGATTTCATCTTGTAGAATAACCCCGAAATTCCATTCTTGTTTTGCGGGCGTTCCCCGATATAAAAACCAGTATAGAAAGTCTTAAAGTCGGGCGGGGCCGACTTTATGATACCCTACACCACTTTGCTAATTTAGTAGAGCTCCACATAACAATAGAAAGTTTTTATGGGAGAGTTCAATCATACACGCTATGATTATAATTATAATTTAAAGTTTCGGATGAACAATATATATGGGAGCTATAGCTATATCTGAACCGATCTTCACCAAATTTGACATACTAGCTTCTAGACTCAATTCGGTCGTAAGTGCCAAATTCCATTCCATTTAGACGAATATTAGACGTTTGGTGCACAATAAAAAGTAAATCGGACGAAGTTATATATGGGAGCTATAACCAAATCTGAACCAATCTCAATAAAATTTAGCAAATGTATTTCTGAGCTATATTTGCTATATTTCCCCAAATATTGTTGTTACAGAGTGCATATTGCCGCTGTGGAGGACAAAAATAACAAATCGGATGAACAATATATATGGAAGCATAGCTATATCTGAACCGATTTCGATCAAATTTGGCATACTTATTTTCAGGCCTAATTTGGTTGTATGTGCGGACGAATATATATATGGGAGCTATATCTAAATTTTGACCGATTATCTCCAATTTCAATAGGGTTCGTCCTTGGGCCAAACAAATGATCTGTGAAAACTTTCATCAGGATAGGGCAATAAATGCGAACTGTACTTTGTTTACAAAAATACATGGACAGACCAAAAAAAACAAAGTCAACTGTTGCATATTTAAAAGTCTAGTTGACTCTACAAGACCCCAGCACAGAGTTGCATTTTCCAGTTTCTTTGAAGTTGACCAACCTTTCTTATTGAGCCATGCATGTAAACATCTGCCAATTTTGTGTAGTTATGTATGTATATTTGTCTGTTGTCTTGAAAATATTTTTTTTTCAAAGTCAATCATTTAAGAAAACGTGCAATATTAACCACTTTTACCATAAAATTTATAGATTGAACAATTTGGGTCATATTTTTTAAAGAAAAAAGGTATTTCATTCATTTTTCACGCTATTTAACTTATTTTAATATTGAGGGAAAATATCAAATAAATAAAAAATTTGTTCCATATAATTTAAAATTTTTTTTTTATAATTAAAAAAAATCAATCCCACGGCAGCGGGTTCTACGATACCGGATTGACCCGGAACAACAACATCCCAGTTTCGGGCAGCGGCTGCCAACCCAGTATGTACATGTTTGTATATCCCGGAATGCTTGCTCCGGATCTTAGTTTTGCTCAGTTTGTCAGAACGTCATACACCACATATCTGTTTCGGTGCGATGTAATGGATGTAGAAAATGGGTGCACTTCATGAACTGTTCCGGACTAAGACGTTTGCCAGACTACAGATAAAGGGACTGTGTTGGGACGTGCTGCAATCAGCGTTCGAAAATAAACAGTACACAAACATAGTGTACTGTTCCGGTACTGTATCACCAAAAAAAAAGTTAGCGGTAGTGTACTGGTACACTACCACAAAAGTACTTTAGTGATGTTGTACCGGAACACAATGATGGTCGTAGTGTTCTGGAGTCGGAGCACTAAAAAAAATTGGTGTTTCGCAATCGGAGCATTAAAAAATCGTAGGGTTGTGCTCCGGTACGGTACATTATCTTTGTGTACCACTCCACCTCGAACGGTACAGAACACTACGGTACAGTACCATACTGTTTATTTTCGAACGCTGGCTGCAATAGCGTAGTCCCCAGCGAGTCCATGTCTTCGTCGTCCCCTTCAGAGTCGTCGCCGGAGAATGGAACTCCACAGCAGTCTCCCGAACAGCAACCAATACCGCAGTATCTTACGCCACATGTTGCTGTTCCAACTCTGGATTGTACATCGTTCTTGCAATTCAATTACAACGGACAAAATAGATTATATATTGGAATTTATGAATCGGAGGAATATTAAGATCGCAGCGGTACAGGAAACCAAGCTGAATGAAAATTGCAGCCTACAACATATTGCGAATGATCGCACTACAAGTATAAGTGGGGGATAAGCGTTCCTGTTCCATGAAGGAGGCGAAAACCTTTCCCTTACGTCAGCATAATCATATGCTTTCGGTGCAGTACCTGCTTGATGAACGCCGTCCATGTAATCCACCCCCCCCCCCCCCCCCCCCCCCCCTCCGTTGCAGCTGAACAGCGTCAGCTGCCTAGACAAACCAGGGCAGTTTTGGCGCAATTACGTTCAGGATGGTGCGGTCGTCTCAATACGTATTGCGCACGATTGACGAAGGTGTGCGTGACATCTGCCCGGCACAATACGCTGCACCTCTTCAATTGCACCGCCAAACCTACCCACTCTCCAAACTAAGACCAAACTTCCCATCAGAGGCAGCGGGATTAGCAAACGAGCGTGATGATCTCCGTCGTACCAACCCTACTGATCCTAGAATCAGTGATTTGACAGTGGAAGTCAACAGTTGGTTGGAGCATAAGAGGAAAAAGTGGCTACACCATCTGAAGTGCTGCGACATTGGAACCGATATGAGTAAGCTGTGGGCAACGGTTAAGTCGCTCTCGAACCCTGGAAAAAAGAAGAGGTGCGCGGAGTATTTTAACCGACAATTTGTCGAGCACCCCGAGAGCGATAGGGCGAAGCGAAGAGTACTACGTCGTATCAGATCTCTTCCTGCTGAGGAGGAACCACCACAGTTTACGATGGGTGATGTTGCAAATGTCATCCGTAATGCTAAGTCATCCAAAGCGTTGGGCCCGGACGGAATCTCAGTGGTAATGTTAAGCAGCTGGATACGCCGGGAGTCGAGTACTTAACGAAAGTTCTCATTTGTCGCTAGCCATCCACATAATACCCGAAACCTGGAAATGGGTTGGGTGGTTCCGCTACTGAAGCAAAGGCGAACCGTACAGGCCGATTTCGCTTTTTGTCGCCAGTAGCTAAGACTCTTGAGGCTTTACTCCTCCCCAGCATTGGAGAAAGCTATACAGTTGCCAACCACCAGCACGGATTCCGTCCACAACAGCATTACACGTCATTTCACACATATTAGTAGAGGACTGAACCAGAACAGGCCGTGTGACAGAACAGTGTTGATAGCCATTGACCTATCAAAGGCATTTGATACGGTCAATCATGCCACACTGTCTGAGGACGTGCAGGAGAACTACCCTGCGGGCCAAGTTTGAACGTTGGATAATCAACTATATGTGTGGACGCCAGTCGTACGTGGAATTCCGAAACAAGAAGTCCAAAGCCGTTGAGTGAAACAGGGAGTTCCCCAAGGTGGTGTGATATCTCCGGAACTGTTTAACCTTTACCTTTCCGGAATTCCTCGCCCTCCAGGCGTCATTGAGATCGTAACGTATGCGGATGATTGTACGATCATTGCGTCGGGCCCAGTGGTCGATGACATATGCGAAAGGCTGAACCCCTATCTCACGGAATTTGCCGCATACTTCCAGCGAAGGAATATGAAAATATCCGCCACGAAATCAACGGCCACACTCTTTACCACATGGTCTGCGGAGATGAGAACACAGCTGAATGTTCAGGTCGAGGGGATTCTAATACCGACCACGAACTACCCCAAGATTCTTGGAATCACGTTCGACAGCATGTTCAAGTCGTCCGCGCAAGCCACAGCTATCTGCGGCAAGATGAAAAGTAGTACAAGGTCCTCAAGGCGCTAGCCGGCAGCACTTGGGGTGCGGACAAAGAAACCTTGTTGACCTCTTATAACGCGATAGGTCGGTCTGTGGTCTGCTATGCGGCTTCAGTAGTCTGCGAATACTAGTGCTACGCAGTGGAAGCATATCCATGAATGCCGTCCCCGGAGTCCACCCCCCATCCATTGCAGCTGAAGAACGTCAGCTGCCTATACAAACCAGGATAATTTTGGCGCAATTACGTTCAGGCAAAGACCTAAAATGGTGTTTGGTTCAGGATGGGTAGTCGTCTGAAGATATGCGTGACGCCTGCCCGGCATGCAATACAGGCCGCACAATACGCTGTATCTCTTTAATTGCACAGTTAAACCTACCCGACTCACTCCAGAAGATCTCTGGCTACAGCCCATTAAAGTAGTCGAATTTCTAAACCTGGAGCTGGAACCAGATTAGCAGAACGCAACACATGCATGTACTACTACTGCACAACAACAACTAAGGAACTTTTAGTTTACATTGATTATTTGGGTCATCTTCTATTGGGATTGCGAACGTATTCGGGGTGTAAGAGACACGTCAAACGTGTTGTTTTTAAATATATCTACTAAAATCAACTACACTATAAAACCAACAATGGGATTAAGCATTCTGTTGTGAAATAATATTGTTGAAAAATATGTATAACAAACTTACTTTAAACCACTGTGCCTTTTATGTTTTACATCAAAGTCGAAGCAGTCGAGAAACCGGTTCAAAGTAAATAAGATATAGTGTTATAACCAAAATTTTATTCAAGGTCTATTACTTGAATTCGGCGATTAACTCCATTAATTCTTTGATAATAGTGGTAATTTGAAATTTGCTTTAATCTTTACATTGATAATTATCAAAGCATATACATTCATACGTATTAAAACTATATTAATCGCATTCAAACTGATAAAATATAATTAAAATCATTGGGTCACATACAAACAATTATAATATATGAAAGGTGATAAATGGTGTTATAAGCTATTAACACATTTTAACAATGTACACTACTACATACATTATCCTGAAAAATCGATTGTGAGTTGTCGTTTATTGTTGATCTTTATTTTTAATTCTTTTAGTTTTATTTTAAATGGGCAAATTTAAATTTAATTCTTTGAATTTTTAATGTACATTCTATCATTATTATGTTATTCAAAAAACACAAACAAGTTACTGCTGTAGTTAAGTTCGTATGTGAATTGGTGAGCTTAGTGTTGAATATTCAAATATGTGTATATTGTATATGATCTCAAGATGTTAGCTGCTGAATAGTGTATACAGTTATGCTGGCATTATATCCTTTCGCTCGAATCTTGATGTTTATCATATTTTAACAAACTTCCAATATTTGAAATTTGCTGTTCATTGATATTCTTGTTTGCAAAGGGCAGATTTTGAATTCAACATTAACTTATTCGTCCTGCATGTCCTCTGGCAATTCATGTGGATTTAGCATTCCTGGTATGTTGCGCTGCATTAACATTTTACTCTCTTGCGCTTCTCGTAGGGCGGCTTCCCGTTCTTCTAGATATAAATCAGAGTCATCCTCCCCAGTAACTTCCTATCGTTAGACATAAAGTGTTACTACATCAAATTTATGACCGCGGTATATATGTGCTTACCCGTATTTGAATTAAGAAATCTCTTAAGTGCTCCTTAAATGCTTGTACATTTTCGTCTAAATTGAATAGACCCGTAACAAATACCTTTATTTGGTTGTCTGTCAAGTGACTGAATGCAGATTTGAGCAATGAAGCCACATATTCTTGTATGAAATTGTATTGTCTGGTATTGGACCAAGATTTACAGTAATCTTATTGTTTTCTACCAACGAGAACATATAAGCTAGAATAATTGCATGATTTCCAAGACCAGCCGTATGTGACGTATCAGTAACAACCGAAATATCTGCATCAAAATGTCCGTAAAATACGTCTGATAGAAACTCTGTGCAGCTGCTGGATGTTGTTCTAAATTTTGGAGCATCTGTAATACGCGGTAATACGTCAGTGCAAATTTTAATTTTACAAATATGTTACCGTACCTTGTATAAAATATTTAAGCCTGTATCTGCAACATTACGCATGGTATGTTTAAATGCCCATACAACCGAATCAAAAACTAACTTGAATTGTGCTGGTGGTATGTTCAAGAATGCCTTGAAGCAATGGGCATTGACTGCTTGTAATAACTCATAAAAGCTTACGCGATGCTGTGGATGATCCTCAAAGTTTTTGTTAATCATATCTAAAGTACACTCAAAGACCGCATCAAAAATTTTCGGCACTTCATTCGTAATGTCACTTCGCAGTTTATGGACTATAACGCTCATAGATGAGAGAACTTTTGGTTCCCGTGCTGATGGTACTTTGCACCTCTGTAAAATACTTTTATAAGCATTTAGTTTAAAACAATAAATCTACACTAGATTACCTGATAATCCAAGAGAACCGCATCTAACAAAGGAGGGATGAAGTTATCCATAACAAGTTGATTGTCGTTAGAACGCGATACCCATTCTGATATGAGGTTTAGGGTCTCTTTTTTTACAACATGCATCGCCTTTATTAGTGGTTGATTATTGACATTAACGCCATTCAATTCAATAGCTTGAATAATGTTTTCTGATGTTATTTTATACACATTCAGCATATCTAGATAAATACGACCCAACTGAATAACGTATGCATGTCCTAGCGCTTTGCATGCTGCGACATTTGTTTTCAATATGCTTCCTAATTGCTTAACAGCTGTCATGTTTTTGAGGAAATCCACATTCTTAGAAGCGCGTGAAATTATTTCATCCCACACTTGGTTAGGCAAAAACATGTATTTTTCTATTAATATATCCTGTTGTACTTGATCTACTTGAGCCGATATCATATATCCAACAGCTTCATAAAATGTGTGCACCTGTAATAAAAAATACAATCATATTGTAAAAAAAGCTATTATTTCAGTCTGTTACCTGTTGTGGTTGAAGATCACAAATAATGCTGCTCATAGTACTCAATATTTCATCTATGAATGTACATGCCTCGTTTGGTTGTATCGTCACAAAATATCTTCTACATTTTATGGCTATTTTTATAAATGTATCGCATGCCATGTCCTGAACACCATCATGAGTTTCGTGCATGAATTCGAAAAGTTTGTTGACAACAGTTTTCAAGAATTTCCAATGTGCTCGCAAAAATCGTGGATATTGTCCAACTACGTACATAATATTCGATGCAATAATTGCTTTATTATCTTTACCCTTCTTTTGTTCGCATAAACCCAAGAGATCTTTAATAACAGTTACCAAAAATCGCTTTTCATCCTCTTCGCAGAAAGCACCTATAATAAAAAAATAAATATACAGCACCTTAGAATCTTGCTCATTATTATTTTATTTATTATTTTATTTTCTTATTTATAACTTTTACAGACCTGAACATGAAGTAACGCCATAGTTAAATGCAATTACATTGATCTATTATTTTCATCATGTAACACTAAATTATTATTATACACTACAAAAGTTTTGCCTTGAACATATTTCAATTTAAAGAATTTTACTTATTTGTAATTTGTGTTTTTCTGTAAAACAGATCCCTGAAGATGATTTCCGGGGGAAATCGAAATATTCTCTTAAGAGAAATAAAGATAATAAGGTAAAGGAGATTGCCAAAAACCGATGAATATGTTCAGAAAAACGTTAAAAACCTGCACATAGCAGGTCAACCAAGAGAGCATTAGTTTAACATTTACAACAGCTTATCCGAAACGCAGAATGCATTGTATAATAAACTGCACCTGTACAGTCGTACAGCCACCACTTCTTATCAAAATATTATAACTAATGATTAATAGGTTACAGCCATAATTATAATCAGCGTTTAAAATTGCTGTCGGTTTGTTACAGTCTTCAAGATTTACTAGCTGTTGTTATGACAATGTCACTGCACATTTGGCAGTCACAGTCAGTAAAAACAAAATCTGGAATAATTAAGCATTACATAACTTTGATTGTTGTGTAAATTTAATTTTATTTTGGTTTTTCTGTATTCGATAGACCCTGGCAGCAGATCAATGTTTTCGGTTACGATGAATGTTACCTTCTTGTCGTCAGGCATCTCCATATCAGCTCTGTGAAAATTACACAGTAACAGTTTTAGTTTAGTAAATAAAACATTACCGTAGCACATCATATTTTTGTGGCTATTATAACTAGCGTGCAGCAAATCGAAAGCTACCAAAAATGGACAGTTGGGATCGGAATGAAAGATTCACGGAATGTCAAAAATGAACTCAACCCAATATTGTAGCTATCATGGAGACAAGCCACCAAGGTGATAAGGGACCTTGATAACAAAACTACAGTATTCGTGGGAATATTTGCATTACTCTGAACATGATTACAGAATTTCATATATTGTAAACTAGACAAAAGTCATCGATCCCTACTTGTCAATACACAATTTTTGGCCAATGGTTATGATGCCCTTAATAAATAAATACATCTGATTATATGTTTCATGCTTTTACAATTCGTCTAGTAATTTTCATTATATTACACAATAATGTACTTAAATACAAGTGGACTGAGTTTTATTTACGACATTACAGTATACAAAATGGGAAAATAATATTCATTACAGCAAGATCAAACATTGACAAACAGTATAATCTATTAGATGGACTATTTATTAAAAATACATCATTACAATTGTTTTACGTATGATAATTTGCGAATTAATACATCTAGGTACATACTAATTCATACTGGAGTATTCCGATTTAATGGGATAATTTGAGATTGAGACATTGTAAAAAATCGTTTCGTCCTTTTATAAAGATGAGTCTGACAACGCCATGGTTTGTTATGAATGATTTTAAGCACTTATTTAGTAGAATTTGAAGTTTTTTTAGGTGACATTTTTTTATATTTGAGAAGCATATATAAGCTACGCATATAACAAATTTATATATAACTTTGTTCATATTAAACAAGTAAGCAAAGGCTATAGTCGTGCGGGGCCGACCATGTGATACCCTACAACACTACAATATATTAGAAGCCTCCTTATGTCCAAATCCATTTTGGAAGATTCCGCTTTTGAAATTATATCACGGAGCACTGCCCAGATATTACCCTTAGCATTTTTACCAGGGACATTTGCCCAATATTTACGCACTCCGTCGTGCTGTAAGCTGTGGTTATATAAAATATAGAAGATAATCCAATGGTCATCCAAAATGCAACAATTCTTCCCTGTCCTTAACTCTCTTCTCAGGCGTGTCGATTGACTTCAATTTTGTGATCAGGAATTTTTTTCTGTTTTTGGTTCATTTGAACTCCTAAATATTTTGCGATCATCTCCAAAAGTAAGAAGCCGCTATGCATCTACAAATTTAGACCCATATATATGATTTTCTTGACTACGATATTGTATATATTCATCAACGAAAACAGCATAAAAAAAGCCAGAAGCTCGTCTTTTGTGTATTTGGGATATTGCTTGTAAGTAATGTCGTATTTTTTGCACACAAAAGTAGTGGTCCATTCTAACCGCTGTCCTTAACCCTGACTACATGCGAGATCTCGAGTCCTTTGGTTTCTATTTGCGATCTTTTAACGGCTCCAAAATCAGGAACATTTTTAGTGGTTGGTCCATTTCAACCCCTAAATATATTGCGGTCATCCTTGAAAACAATGGCTCTTCTGAGCCTAACCCTACCCTTGTGAAATTTTTCGTGAAGATCGGACGATAATTGTAATCTGTATATAATAACCCTAACCCGTGTTGTAAAGTGAAAAATTTTACAAAATGTATACTTCAATATTGTAAGTCAAATTGAAAAAAATCGCATGCGATAAAAATAATGAAAAAATAAAAAAATATCACAATATACTACAAATCTATGACACCATTATTGGCACATTTCTATGCGATTTTTTAATATTTATTTCTCTTATGTTAAGACGGCATTCTGAATTGACAAAATTTGTCAAAATCGGTTCAGCCATTCTTGAGATATATGCATTCTAGCTAACATCCCTTCCCTTGTATATTTACATTGTATATATTTCCCGATATATATCAGATATATTTACTAGCGGCATCTACGTAACGGTCAGAATTGACCTCTTTATCTATTGTGATTTCGCCGGGATTAAAAATAAATTTTATTTAAAACAAATGCTATGGTCTATTTCACCCGCTAAATATTACCCGATGATCACCAAAATTCGAAGACTTCTGGCCAGCCCTAAGCTCTAGCCCCGTGCTAACTTCCGCGTCGATTGGTCTATAACTGCGACCTGTAGAGCAACTGCAAAATCAGGAAATTTTCAGTATTTGGCCCATTTCAACCCCTAAGTATTATGCGATCATCTCCAAAAGCAATAGGGTTCTATTCTGGTCCAGACCCCACCTCCATTCTAAATTTCGTGAAGATCGGGCCATAATTGCGACCTGTAGAGTGATTACAAATTAACATGGACAGACGGACGGACGGACATACATAGCTAGATCGACTCAGCTCGGCAAGGTAGGAAGATCCATATATACTTTCCTAAGTGGGAAACCAATATTTCGAGGTGTTACATAATTTTTGGCCCAATCCCACCCCCAACACATAGTGTTGCAGGGTATAAAAAGAACGACGATTTAAAAAAGGCCCCGTATATTTTAACCGCTACGATTGCATTTGAACACACCAGATCAATGTGTTTTTGGAATTTTATTTTTTATCTGATACAAAACAAATTTTTTTTTGTTATCTGAAAGAGTGTTTGTATATTTTAATTGCAAAAGGAGAGGCTACGACTGGCGTTTCTTATTGAATGGATGAATTGCTGCTTATCAGGCATGTCGCAGGAACGAATTCCAACGAAAATTATTTTAATTCCGTATTTAGCTTCGCAAATTTTTTTCGGTTTGAAGTCATTCATTCTGGATTTTGCAAGTGAAATTGTATTTTTATGAGAACTTGTAACTTTAAAACACTTTCAAGTAATAAAAATGTCGTTTTAATAACAAATACACAATTAAATGTACATTTTTATATTTTTATTCAAATAATTAGCAAATTTTAATTGTTTCTCCATTGACGATGCCAATTGTTAAAAAAGTGTTGCCATATCATTTTTTCTTGAAAACCAGTTTTTTTTTTTTCAAAAAAAATTATTAATTTTTGAAAACTAAACAATGATACATTGAAGCAAAGATAAAAACAAAACAAAAAAGCTCAAAACAGTAATTTTGTGCAAAAATTAATTTTGGAATGTTAATTGACGTTTTAGTTATTTAAGGCAAGCACAGGGTTTATGGGTTTAAACTAATCTGGTGTATTTTGTCTTTATTGTGTTTTTACTTTGCGCCTCAATTACAGAAACAATCGAAACTCCCGGCATTGTGTAAAAATTAACAAAAATAATTTTCTTTTCGCACAAAAAAATTCTTTTAATCAGAATTTTTTTTTTCACAATTTCTACTTCTACAGTGATTAGAAAATCATGTGGTTTTTTTTTTGATTCCTCATTTACTGGCTCTTAAAAATCTGCTGAGCTTGGAAAATTACTTGCCTTCTGGTTGTATTAAGATTAATATTAACTTCGCGCTGGTATATTCCTCATATATTTCATTGATTGATGGTCAGAAAAACTTAAAACTAAGTCAACAATTGATGGGTTTCTGTACATTCCGTTAGGGTAATGATATAACTGAAGAATTGTTGGACAATAATTCCATGATGTTTTGCGTTTTAAGTGTCCTAAAAATTAATTCTTTACTGTGCGAGGTAAGTTGTATTATCTTGTAGCAATTAACGAAGTATATACTTTGTATTTATGGAGCGACTCCGCCGTCTTCATTACGATAAATAAAATAGTATAAGCTATACATTTTATGATTATGGTTTAGAAAATGTTAATTCAGTGAAGCTATATGAGCCTTTTGATTTTCTGGCTAGTATTCAAACTGTTTTAAATAGACAATGACTTTTAATAACATAGAAATTTTATTATTATTATTTTAAAATTATTTATAGGTTTATTTATGGGGTTTTGTTGTACATTGACTGAACTCGTCAACTACGTTAGTAGATATGAAGGAGAACTTATCAATATTGAAGAGATTGTTCTTGCTCCTCTGTTGACCTACATATTTAGACTATAATTTTTGTTCGTCTTTCTAGTACAGTTTGAATGTCACGCGTTTGATGTGTGAAATCTTCTCTTTCTCTCTCTCTCTCTCTTTCTTGATTCTATCTCAAGGCGTCGCATTGGACACGAGCTAGAATTTACCAAATGATCTGAACTTTCTCTTTCAGCATTCTGGCAATTAAAACAATAAAAACAGCAGGTTTCTTTGCCATTCATTGTGAATGGACAAAAAACGTTTG